CAAATGGAGATTTAAAGCTGAATTTTAAAACGCTAAAAAATGTCTTTCTGGAGTCTATTTATGCCTGCTCCATACCCCTAAGGGCTCTGACTCTTCAGTGGGTTTCTGACAACCATTGTATAAATACTACATAGAAATGAAGGAAGAAACACACAGAGTAAAGAGGGGAAAACATCCCTTTGTGTCAGCAAAAAAAGGCAGCTTTAGCTAATGTAAATATTTTTATTCTGTGGGGGAAAGAATAGAGGGCTGTATGAGTTAGTGTAGTTGATAAAGGCAGTTGCCTCTCTTCTGCCTGTCACCATTAAAGCTAACCTGAGGGCCTGTATGATCTCAGCTAATCCTGCAACAAAAGGACCTTTCATCCTAAAATCATTATATCACACTCAGCTCCACATACCGCTGTTCAGGGAAGAGATGTTCAGTCCTTTTCAAGGTTCTGCTTTGTCCCTTGGCACAAGGAGGAGCTTCAGTGACTTTGGAACCAACATCCTGAATTTCAGCCTTCTGGTTCATCACTGCCTAGAGAACTTCTGAAAAGACAACTTCCAATCCTTCCAATCCTGAATCCAATCCATCACCTCAAATCATAACACCCCAAATTTTTGTCCTTGAAGGGAATCTTCTTTGTCCCTTCCGCACGTCCAAATAGGAAGACAGAAATTTGATCATTGTGTGAAATGACTGAGTGGAGAAGAATAATTAGGAGGGATCTGAAAGCTGAAGCTAGACAAATAATTGGAAACCAGGTTCAATTTTTTATGGCTGCCCAAAATTTGGGGGGAAAGGAAATGCCATAATGTCCATGTCCTAACATTTTCAAGATGAAGACAAGATTTCTTTCAGGGACCTGTAATCTATCAAACAGTAAGTTTTTGGGCTAAACACAGGGGTAACTTCAAGAGGAATCCTCAGGGTGAATTTTAATGGGTTGTTATACGCAAGTTAGTCTAAGTTAGGAACTTAAGATTTATGGATAATTATGTCTTCAGCGAAACTCAAGGAGCTGATCCCATGAGCCAGCCAAAATAAAATGTATCAAGGCCAAACACGGAAAAAGCAGAGAGCTCTGTAAGACCGAATCCTCTCGGTTCACACTGCTGATTGGTGAAAAACAATGCTGGTCAATGTCTCTTTATCTGCTCTGTGAAACTTTTGTAGCCCATAAGATTACATACAAAAGTCCAAGTACAAAATCCATATCCAGGTTCCCATGAAAGTAAACAAGAAAAAGGGAGGAAATAATGTCGTTTTTTCATTGATTATAAAGAAAAGCCACTGGGGCAAAGCTGTAGAAGATAACCAATGAACATTTTAAAATTAAATGAGCTGAAGTTTAGATTAAGAAGAGTGGGAAGTAATACATGACTTGGAGTGACCAAGTCTCATGGAGGGGCTACAAGAGAAAGATACGACTGCCAGTACATTAACCGGTATATCATCAGGCATAACTTACAAAGATATTCACACTCTCATCTAACTGGTCTCCTGAAACACCATGTCCTGTCAACGAATAGGCACAGCTTTAGGAAAGCAGGAGAGAAATAGTGACAAGATAAGTGCCATACACTTTGTACTGCGTATGCAAAGACATAGCAATGACCTGGTGACTATGATAGTGCTCCAGTCTGGAACTCAAGAGAGACAGGTTCTAGTTTGCTATTACACCCTAGCTTGATAAACTTAATGCAACTCAGTTTCTCTGCCTCGTTTATAGGAGATAATAGTCCCTACCTCATTCTAAAATGCATTGTATCAACTGATAGAAAGTCAGCGTAAGTGTAGGGCTCTTGTATGCAGTTAAAGGCACAGCCTGCAACCTGATGTGGCCCAAATGTGGAATTCAACACTGCTAACTTGGGACACAAAAAATTATGCATGAAAATATTCCCATTATGAGTCATTATGTCTGTTGACCTAGCCTTATTCCTGTAATACCTTCAGTTTCTTGTTTTAAACAAGGAGACAAAAGTTTTTAAACAAGGTGACAAGGTAACAGGATTGAGAAATAAATGAAGGCTAAACATGGGATGATCCAAAGAAACTGATGACATTGCCTGACTGAAGGCATAGCCAAGACACATTGCTGAGAGTATTCCCCCATTATGTATGTTGGAAAGACACAGAATATTAAAACAGAAGAAAAAAAAAAAAAAAAAAAAAGAGATAATTAAGGCTTTGCTAACCCCTATTTATCTAGCAAGATTTGTAAAGAAAAATATTACCCACAAGAAACTCTGGCAAACAGTTAAACTGCCCTGTGGAATAGTTTTAAAGTGTACTTTAAAGTTGCATTTCAGTGTTAAATGTTTGAATAACCACTAAAAAATATTTCATTAACATTTAGTGGCAGATCTACAGTTCTAGATGTGACTTGCAGTTCAGATGGCCTAATATGTAAGTATTCTCTGGTGCACATTCTTATAATAGTATGCTTTAAAATGCTTTAACTCAGAGGATAATGTAAGCACAGAACTGGTCTTCCTGGCACTATTCCAGCACAGCTGAAATTAATTACAGCACTTCCAATGAAAGGCAGAACAAAGAAATAACAAAAACCTTTTAAAATTAAGCACTTCTACCATGTGAGAAGGATTTGAGTGAGTATAGTTGAGGTGTATGAATTAGTAGCTTAGGTCCAATGGATAAGCATACAGGCAGTGCGGGCAAATAAAGTGAAAGACTGGAGAAACCACAAGCTTTTCTAACATGTGGCACAAAACAACAACAGAAAACCAATTATTTAATAACTTTGCCCTGACAGGTTTCCCAGTGATATAAAGCCAGCAGTATAAAGCACTGAGCCACCAGAGCTGCAATAGGAAGACTTTCCAGATACTGCGTTTTTTCATGGTTGTGTGTATATATATGTGTATCAAATTGTACTTTAAAATCTCATAAAGTATTTGAGATCATGGGATTCCATGTTGTACCCTCTGAATACGTGTTGCAAAGACTCAAGAGGCCTACATTAAGCAAATCTGTCAAAGGCCTGATGATCTACTGGACAACAGGCCACAGGTTTTTTTCCGGAAAGTCAGAATTATAAATACTCTGTATTGTGATAGTTCATTTTATAATATTTTTATCATTAGTCCTTTATAAAGTAATCTATCACACAAGATACAGTGTTGCATTTCAGAAAAGCTGTACCACTTAGATGTAATTAACGTCAATTTAAACAATTCAAGGTTTAGGCTATATGGGCATATGTGAGATTACATAAAAGCATATAAATATATAGATGCAAAATGCGTTTTGGATAATGAGAACTGTGAAAATGTGTGAATGTGTATGCATACACAGATTTCTGTTTCCCTGATCTCATCAAGAGACTGTTCATTTGCTCTCAGTTCTGAACTTCTTCCCAGTTAGCACTGATCCCAGGCCACACACTGAGGAGCTGTCTTCATGTTTTATGTGGCTCTGTCACTGGCTTTTGGCTTGTCTTTTTCCTTTTTCCTTTCTTCAGGAGACACACAAAGCTTTACAAAATGAAAATTGAATCATTACCTACATTTTGGGTACCTCAGCTTTCGCCCTTAGTTGGCTGGACATTCCAGTTGCTATGCCTTTATAACTGTACTGTTCCTGTCTCCTAAGTATTAGAAGTCCTGTCCTAGCTTATATCTCATATCTGAGATTTCAATTGTTATAAAATTTGTTAATACAGATTAATAAGGAGTAGACAACACAGGGACAGAGAATGTAATTTGCAGTATTTTAGAAAATGTTTCTTTCCTATATTGTTTTACACTTATAGCAATGGTTGCTCGTGCAGTGCCTCTCCTCTTCAATGTAAGGAACTTATTGCAACTGAGAGCCAAAACTAAGTAATTCCACATTTGTATTTTGACTCCTAAAGTTCACTGTGTTTGCCAAATCTGGATTTCCCAGCAGAAATGCAAGTGAAAAGAGTTTCTCCATATTGAAGTATCCATAGAAACCGCAAGTTTTATGTATTATATAGGACTCTCTGCCCAATCTCTTCCATTACTTAAGAATGAAGGAACAGCCAATTCTCTCAAATATATACACTCAGTTAGAATAAATTTTCCTGTAACAAACTGACATAAAAGACCTAATCTTGAGCTTTAGAAGACTGCTTGATAAACTGATTTACTGTCCCCATACAATGCTACACACAGTGTTCATACTACTTACAAAATTAGTATCTCTGCTCTGAGAGTTATGAAGCATATAGCTTGCCAGTTTGTACCAAAACTTTGATTAATATTCATTAAAAAAAAAGCCAGAGTTTGCACTTCAGAGCCATAGTACTGCTAGTGTATTCATGATCTTAAGAATGTTTATATATTTATCTCAGTTTTAAGGCAACAATTCATATACCACCTTTTTTTTTTTCAAGTCCAAATGGGCACTTGGGTGACAAAATTTCATTCAGCCTGAATAGGAGCCTAGGTCTTTTAGGTGTGGAGTCTTCCAGCAGTGTCTTGGGAAAGGGACAAAAGGTGCTATAGCTAGAGGTTTGGGAAGCACCAAAGTGTCTCTGACTAATAGAAGCTTACTCAAGTCCTTCTCCTCACATAACATACTCAACACCCTTGAAAGCACACTCTTTATGCTGCAGCTTGCAATCAGGAGCATGTTGCAGCTGCACCAAAGGACATTAGGTAATGAATACTTCCAGGTAGCGCTGGTTTTGATGTAACTCTCCATAGTGAATCTTAAAGAGTCCCATCACTTCAAGTGATGCAAAAGAAATATCATTAACCCAAACAACAAACATGTCTGTCAAATTCACATGGAAAATAAAAATTAGTAAATAAATAAATGTTTAGAAACAACTGATTCTGAATATCTTGGTTCCTCAAGGGAGCCAGTATTTGTTTTCCTGATACCACAGTAAAATGTGCTCATTTCCATAATCCAGAACAGATCTAATTCCTTTTATTTATTATATTTTCCAGCCTGGCTTGGTGCACTTTTGTTTTTAATGTGTGAGGCTGATCTGAAATAAACACATTTTTTTCTATCAGGGGAATATCTTGATGATTCCCAAGAATGTCAGTTGTGTGAAGCATCCTGTCAGAAGTGCATTGGCCCTGAGCCGGACAACTGCATCAGCTGCCCACTCACAAGGTAATTGTCTCCTAGCACAGTTCAGCATGAAGACCTTGCATCATCATCCAGAGAAACTGCTGTATGGTCTTCAGCACTAGCTTGCAGAGTTGACTGAAGAAGCAAGCAAACATTAGGGCAAAGAAGACCAGGGCAAGTGAGAAAACAAGTGTTATGTGAACAAGACGGTTGGCTACACAGGTAGTTGATTAGCCAGATGATTCCCACAGATACAGAAAAATTTCTTCTAACACATGATGTAATCTTTCTTTTGCTGTCATCCTTTCAAAATCATAATTGCTAGAATCACAACAGTGACAAATTTAACAAGAGTCTAGGACACCTGTAGTTGTACACAACTATGGAGTTTGGCACAAGGCATGAATATGGACACTGAGGCTAACAATCATCTAATTTGGGAGCTATTCATAGCACCTAAACATCATTGCCTAACTGAGACATTTTAAATTAGGCTGATTTTTCTAACTGCCATGAGGAGTGAACAGAACTAGAAAAGCTTCATTTTTCTAACTGCCACGAGGAGTAAACAGAACTAGACAAGTTTTCCACAGGACATTGCAGATCAGAGGCTTCTGTTTAGGTCATCTCACACCTAATCCAGGAATATAATTTAAACACAGGTCCTACCAATAGCTTTACTCTTGCACAAATAGCTCTGGTTCTGTTGCACTGGATTGAACTGTAGCCACCTGATATTTACACTAGTATGAAACCAGAATCAGATCCTGTAAGGCATAGAAAAAAATATCACCAAACAATCCTGCAATTTACCCTGAAAATACCTATTATATGACTACGCCAATAAAAAGCATACAAGGACCAATGGAGTCCAAATAAATTAATAACTGAGGAAAGAGTATTAAATTAAGGTATGTTACATCAGAAATGGCATTTGCACAGGAAGTCTGGGCAGAATTTGGGATGGCAGACTGGATTACTGTGATTCACAATTGCATTTAAATTAGAGTGTCTATGTTTCCTTGCAACCTATTTTGTGAGCTTTGCACAGAGATATCTGCAAAATAAAGAAGGTACAGGACAACTCCATTAGGCAAAACCATCTAGATGTTTGCAGCAATGAGGTCATCATGACCTTTTGGAACAGTGCTGATGTCTCCCCCATAAAAAATCCTCTAACAGTTTTCAATTTTGGTATCTAAGTTTTCCGAAAGATTTTTGTGCTCCTTCTGCACATTATGCAAGCTGTTAGAAAAAGTCATATTATGACAGCCAGTAGTAAAAGAAAGAATAATAAGGAAAAATCTCACCCAGAGTCTAAAGATTAAATCCTTCCAATGGGCATTATTCATTATGTACTTGAAACAAACCTGTTAAATTGAAACAGAATCCTAAATCCTGTCACTCTTGAGAGCTTCAGATGGTGTCTATTGAAGACAGTAATGAGTGGCTATTAGATAATACAGACTAAAATTCAGCAGTGCTGTTTTCCTACAGAGGAACACCCTTCCTCTTTGAAAAAGATGAAAAGACTGGGGCGGGGGGGGCATTACTGAAAATAGCGTGAAAACCAAAACACTGAACAATCACTATTCTGTGTGAAAATTCAGCACTACGTGTCATCTTATTTCATGATAAAATTACCCACAGATCATGTTCTTGTTTGACTATTCAAAATGCTGTTACCTGTTTTTTAAAAATTGTAGAATTGTAGTATTTTGTCCAGCCAAACTGATTTTCACAGAATTCCTCATCCATCTGTTTACTGTTTAAGCTACAAAGGTGACAAGCTCTGACCTGCTGGTGTCGGCCATTAGGGGCAGCATAACAAAAAGCAAGAGAAACGTAGATTACCACTATGTGAGCCGTTTGTAAAGAACACTGTCACTACAGCCAGCACACGTAGTAGAACACAGTAATATTTGCATGTCATATAAGCATAAAATAGCTACCTCCAGTACTGCTGTCACATTGTCCCATTTGCACAGAAACCAACAAGAGGGGGCTGCAGTCCCCATGAAGAGCTGAATAATGGTCTTAGACAAGCAGGTATAGCTATATGAGCTACAGTCCGCATAGGACTGTCTTGCCATCAGACTCCAGAGCAGAGATACATCTTTGCTGAATACTTTGTACACCCATACAAGCTTCTCCCTGATTCCTTTCAGTCTTACAAGTCTTTTTAACCAAATCCTAAGTTTTCTTTGTTACTTGCACCTCAAGAAGGCTGTTTGCGTGATAGCCTATTCTTCCATCTTCACACTTCGTAAGCCTAGATGTTTCCTATCACGGTAAATTTTAAATGGCTTCAAAGACTATTCGACAAAATTGGTTTTAAACTTTGCAGATATTTTTCTCCTCTTCTTTCAGAATAAAACTGATAATAACCATAGCAACTCAAATTTATGAAGTCATATTGCAGACTTTCTCTAACGCCATTGACTGGCTCCAAGGAAGCATGCACTATCTTAATGGAAAGCCTACTGTTCCCTAGGTGTACAGGCAGGCTGATAGTCTCAAAATCTGTGCTAAGATCCTGAAAGGTGCTCAGCTTTTGTAGAAATTGAGTCCCAAGTCCTCAGATACCAAACTGGTCAAAGCAGCTAAATGTGGAAGACTACAGTCTCTCCTTTTGTATTTTCTTAACATTGAAAACACTGTCAAATTCTAGCCAACTTCTTTTTTATTTTTTTAAGAGTCATATCTGTATTGATGCTTTTCTACTTTTCTCTCAAACAAATTAAAACCAGTAGACATTAAGCAGCAGATCAGATGGATCAAAAATTTTTCTGATCAAAATGGATCAGAAATTTTCATCACATAAAAGGACTCTGTAGCAAATTTTTCATTATCCAGCAAAAGGAGAACATGTAGGAGCAAAACTCCTAAGTGTTCACAGATATGCAAGTCTAAAAATACAGCTCCTAAAGGCCAAGATTCAGATAGATGTTTGACTTTACGTACAAAATCGTTTTACTGAAGCCATAATACTGTTCGCAGGAAGCATTTAAAGTAAAACTAGTAGGAAACTTCAACAGATGGATCATTGCCTCACAGAGAAAAACCAAACCTTGCTTTCCTTTTAACAGACATAAATGATCACTGTAGGGATTGTGGTAAAAGGACGTCTAGGTAAAGGACCCAAAGCTGATGTTTCTCAGAAAAATCTCTGAAAAAAAAAACTCTCAAGTCTAAGACCCAGGTTCAAAATATGGGTGACTTTCCACTTTGTAAATACTATTAATGAGATCTGGAAAATGAAGGAGGAAAGCACAAACACTCTTGTAAATGGAGTGAAGGAAGAATATCTTTGGTTTCTTGTTTATTTCCTTTGAATTTAAAGAACAAGGAGTTGCTAAATTTGTAATTATGCCTTTTTCTCCCTCAAAAGAGTCTTTGACGATGGTCACTGTGTTATTCAATGCCCGAACGGAAAGTTTGAATTCAAAGGACAATGTCATTTGTGCCATCATACCTGCCTGGAATGCAATGGAAGTGAACCTAACAAATGCACCACTTGTGGAACAGGTAAGAAAGATTTCCTCTTGCAGCTTTTTCCCCTTCCTTGATCTTGAAGTTCCCTTTTCCCTCTGCTCTCAGAGTCAGTTAGAGCAACTAAAAGAAACAGGGCTTTTGCTACCGATCTGCATCATAGTCTTATTTTAACCCTGAAGCGAGTTGGAACTCAAATTATTTTTAAAAAAGTAAAAGAAAACACAACTCTGTATTGTTCTTGCAACTTTATGCATTTCCCTTGGTATGTTTTGAATAGGATCTGTGTTAACAGAAACAGAAAGAGTAGCACAGGAAAAAAAGGACAGAAAGCCTACATAGCCTGCCTCTGGAAAAGAACGCTTGATACACGCCTCCCCCAGCCTTTACAGTGTGTACTACACTGAAACAGAGCAAACTTGAACAAGCGAGCGGGGAGCCAGGGTGCTTTCCAACATGTCTGTCTGGGAAAGGCTAGGAAACAAGCGTGGTGGTTTCTACCACAGACTGCTGTGTCCCTACAGCTGGACAGATGGGACCTGCAAAGAGAACCTTACCACTAACACACACAGAAACTTGGCTTTTTGACACATTTTTATAGAGCTTTGGTTGAGAGAGAGGGTAGTATAGTTAAATTTGCAGTTGTTCCAAAAAGTAACACTTGTCCTTTTGAAGCTCCATTTTAAAAATTATTCTCTCTGGCCTGTGTGACACCTGACAGGCGAAGAACTTGAGGCTATTACATACAAGTGTGTATAACTAGGCTGAACTGCCCTTTGAAATGAGCATTTAACATTTAACTTTCAATTCCATGAATAAAAAGGAAATTTTGGTGAGGTTTTCCTGAAGACTCACAATAGATTCACAACCTTTTTCCTTTGAGCTGCTGCTTCCATTTCAGTCCTAATCATTAATGGCCCAGGCTTTATTTAGTAGTAAATGTCTTACTACTAAAAAGAAAACACTAGTATGGCTGGCATTAACTGGTTGTGTTGATGATAAGATTAACTTTCTCACTTTGGGAAATATGACTGAGTAGACGAAGTTTTCAAATGGTACTTCAAGTCCAACATCAGGCAGAAGTCTGTATAATTGTTCCCCAAGTCTATCCCTATGGTGGACAGCAATATAAATTTTCTGCATTTCTGAATTTCTTCAAGAAATGAAGACACTGATGAGAGTGTCTCCCCGAGGAGGCTGGAAAAGATCATTCTAAAGATTTGTACCTGAAGAGTAAAAGAAACAAAATCTGAATACTTCTGCTATAGTGCAGCAATTATTCCCTATTATAGCTGCTTTCTCTACAGTTTCAAAAATAAATTATAGTAAGCAACTTCTTGCTCTATAGTTAAAGCAAGTAAATACACATAGTACAATAATGTATGTAATTTATATTGTAGGGTAACTGTAGGGTAACCCATTAGAAAACTCCCCATGTTGCAGCATATGGAGTTGCAGGTGTTTTCACAGGTTTCATTCAGAAGCATTTGAAGCAGAAGATCTCCTAGTTCCCCATGCACTACAGAATGCTATTGCTCTGATAGCAAATAGATGTACGCTTGCTGTTCAGACTAAAACCTAAAAGATTCCAGATTCTGGCTGTGACTATGGTGAGGATTACAGTTTAATCTACTTCAGACACAGACTGATCCTTTCCAAAGGTGAAGTGGGCAGCTTTGCTTTCTTAATGGAAATTCTACATCCGCATCTACAATACAGTACAAATACTTATATGTTCACTGCAAAGGAACTCAGTAATAGAAATCCCTTGATCCTTATTTTATTAGAATGATGTATGTAAACAGTAATTATTCACTAGCTTGACATCTTTACATGTCATAAATCTCCAGGAATGTGGAAGGTTTGAGGTCCTGAAACTTTCATACATTTTAGCTCATCTAGTGTAAAACTGTACAAATCTAGCTGTCAATGAACAACGTTAATTCTCATCAGCTGCAACACTGGTTCTTCATAAAGCTGCTTCTTATGCCCAAATATCCTCTGTTGCTGACATTTTTTTTCCTGTTTTTTTGCCACACAGATAGAAGAGGGATCGAACGTTTCCTTTATCATGGAGAGTGCAGAGAGAGCTGTCCTACAGGTCACTACCATTCAGAGCATACCTGCATGGCTTGCTCTGGCCACTGTGAGGTGTGCCTGAACCCCAGCCACTGCAAAAGGTGTTTCAGAGGCTAAAACCCTTCCTATGGAGTTAAAAAATATTCTATTTAATTTGTTACAAAAACCTGGTTAAAGGTCTTGGTTCCTGTTTTGAAATGTACAATCACAACTGATCCTGAGGTCCTTAAACTCCAGCTCTAATTCTCTTCTGATATCATGTTAATGTAAAATAGGAGCATTTTCCCCAAATTGAGTGGGGTTACACAGGAACAAATGAGAAAAGAAATTGCTGTGAAGCTTTCTCCTTTTTGGATTTGGATAAAGTTTATTTCCAGCAACCTTGTTGAGTGGTTCCAAATGTTGGCCTTCCACTATCTAGAATTAACCCCAAATTGGTGATTTGCAAAATACAGGTGAAGTGGAAGATCCTGACTCTGAAGATTGCATACCGTGTTCAGATGGATGCCAGAACTGCAAATTGGGTAAATATTCCCTTTATGAACCTTTATCCTTATTCTTAAGGTAAGGAAAAATTATTCCTCCTCCCTCTCTTCTCATAAGCCTATGTGCATGCTGCTGAGCAATTAGTCACTGCTGTATTCTCTCACCAAGTAAACTGTATTTTTCCCAGTGTATTTATTTTGAACACCATTTCTAAATGTTATCTTCATCATAAATAAGAATAATTTTTGTATTAATCTAATTACTAATCTTTGCAGCCTGTTTTTCTTCCTGCTTGAATTCCATGCTCCTGCTGAGAGATTTACTGACTTCCTGAAGCCATTATCAGACACAGAACTTTATCATGGATGTTCAAATTTTCTAGGCCTGACAATAGATCATTAGCCTGTGCTTTTTCTTTAAGGAAACAGACATAAGGAGAGACCTTGAATTTCATTCAAGAGCAAGTCACTGCAATAGCAGTGCTACTGCCCTAAAAAATACTAAATCATTAATTCATTTTTCATGCTGGATTAAAAAAAAGTTCCTTCTCAAGATAATATGATATTGACAAAGAGTTTGTTGTCTTCAGATAAAGTCATTTAACTTACTGAGCTTGACTGAATCTGTATCTCAATAGTTCACCTCCACAGAGGATTAAAAATGTTCAAAAGACATAGCAATTCATTGTTTCCACTATGTTTACATTAAAAAAATTTCATTTCCCGTGGCTATATGGACATGAGTATAAGCAGTCAGTAACTCAAGACTGAGAGTCAACAGGGTGACCTATTGGAAAGGTAGTCTTCACTTACGACCTCTTAGACAAACTTCTTCTTAAGAAAGCACAGAGTTTAGGTAAAGTAGTGCCCAGATGAGATGCTTCTGTAAGACCATCTACATCAGAGAAAGTAATACTATGCTAAAATCTCCTTGAAAGATTATACAGAAGAATAAAATAGACCTAAGCTTTACTTCTTTTGATACAAATCTAGAGCAAGTCACTGATCTGCAGATAGTTATATAGAATTGCTTATTTGTTGAAAGACAGGAACAAATATGGCTTGTTATATTTTCAGAGACCATTGTTGAAAGTGCCAAGACTACCAGGACTATCCATCCCCTCCCCAAATTAAGATAGATCTGCTTGGTAGAATACCATGGGATAAAGTCTAGAGGGAAGAGGGGCCCAAGAAAGCTGGTCAGTATTCAAGGATCACCTCCTCCAAACTCAGGAGAGATGCATCCCGACCAAGAGGAAGTCAAGCAGAAACACCAGGAGGCCTACATGGATGAACAAGGAGCTCCTGGCCAAACTCAAGCAGAAAAAGGAGGCCTACAGAGGATAGAAACAAGGATATGTAGCTTGAGAGGAATACAGAGAAATCATCCGAGTAGCCAGGGAGCAAGTTAGGAAAGCTAAAGCCCTGACAGAATTAAATCTGGCCAGTGATGTCAAAGGGAAAAAGAAAGCCTTCTATAGGTATGTCAGTGATAGAAGGAAGACTAGGGAAAATGTGGGCCTTCTCCAGAAGGAAGTTGGAGACTTGGTTACCCAGGATGTGGAGAAAGCTGAGGTCCTTAATGACTTTTTTGCCTCAGTCTTCAACAGCAAATGCTCTAGCCGCATCGCCTAAGTTGCAGAAGGCAAAGGCAGGGACTGGGAGAATGAAGAACCACCCACTGCAGAAGAAGACCAGGTTCGAGACTGCCCAAGGAACCTGAAGGTGCAAAAGTCCATGGGGTTTGGTGAGATGCATCCGCAGGTCCTGAGGGAACTGGTGGACGAAGTTGCCAAACCACTCTCCATCAGATTTGAGAGGTCGTGGCAGTCTGGGGAGGTCCCAACCAACTGGAGAAGGGGCAACATCACCCCCATTTTTAAAAAGGCAAAAAAGGAAGACCTAGGGAACTACAGGCCAGTCAGTCTCAACTCTGTGCCTGACAAGATGGTGGAGCAGATCCTCCTCAAAAACATGCTAAGGCACATGGATAATAAGGAGGTGATTGAGGACAGCCAGCATGGCTTCACCAAGGGCAAATCATGCCTGACTAACTTGGTAGCCTTCTATGACAGGGTTACAGCATTGCTGGACAAAGGGTGGGCAACTGACATCGTCCGCCTGGACTTGTGCAAGGCATTCAACACTGTCCCGCATGATGTCCTTGTCTCTAAATTGGAAGGACATGGATTTGACAGATGGATCACTCATTGGGTAAGGAACTGGCTCAATGGACGCACTTAAAGAGTTGCAGTCAATGGCTCAATGTCCAGGTGGAGTCCAGTGACGAGCAGTGTGCCTCAGGGGTCAGTACTCGGGCCAGTGCTGTTCTGGCTTGAGAGCAGCCCTGAGGAGAAGGACTTGGGAGTACTGGTGGATGAGAAGCTCAACATGAGCCGGCAATGTGCGCTTGCAGCCCAGAAAGCCAACCATATCCTGGGCTGCATCAAGAGAAGCGTGGCCAGCAGGTGGAGGGAGGTGATTCTGCCCCTTTACTCCATTCTGATGAGACCCCACCTGGAGTACTGCATCCAGCTCTGGGGCCCCCAACATAAGAAGGACATGGATGCATTGGAGTGGGTCCAGAGGAAGGCCACGAAGATGATCACGGGGCTGGAGTACCTCTCCTACAAGGACAGGCTAAGCAAGTTGGGGCTGTTTAGCCTGGAGAAGAGACAGCTCCGGGGTGACCTTATAGCAGCCTTCCAGTACCTGAAGGGGGCCTACAGGAAGGATGGAGAAGGACTTTTCACAAGAGTGCGTAGTGATATGACAAGGGGGAACGGCTTTAAACTAAAAGAGGGCAGATTTACATTAGATATTAGGAAGAAGTTCATCACCATGAGGGTGGTGAATCACTGGGACAGGTTGCCCAGAAAGGTGGTGGCTGCCCCCTCCCTGGAAGTGTTCAAGGCCAGGCTGGACAGAGCTCTGAGCAACCTGGTGTAGTGGAAGATGTCCCTGTTCATGGCAGGGGGTTTGGAACCAGATGATCTCTAAGGTCCCTTCCAACCCTTAGCATTCTGTGACTCTATTATTTCCACAGACAGAATAGTTCATACAGGGCCCTCTGGTTTCTCTCACTTGCTCCCCAGTGTGTTTTGGGGACTGGTGTAACAGGCACTACCATCAGTACCAGGCAGCAGAATGTTGCTATACAGAGAAGAGTGAATAGTAGGAAAGAAAACTGTCAAAGCAACCTACAAGAACAAAAACAAATTAAAAAAAAAAACAAAAAAAAAACCAAAAAACAACAGAAATTAATTCCCACCATTAGTCACAACCATTTCAATGCTCTTTCTGCTTTTGTGTCAACATTTTTCCCTGGGAAACAAGACTATCATGAATGCTCATGCCTACCAAATGTCTGTAAAGATTTCCATCACATACTGCTTTCTTCTTTCTACCAGTCATCCAATCTAATATGTCATGCGATAAAACTCCCTTTGACTGTGGTGATCAGCCATTCTGCATAAATGCAGTCAATGCTCTGTGACTACACCTGTAGCTTTCAATATTGCTGAATGAAGAGTTGGAGGGACCAAGTTTTAACATGAGTGCAACTACACTGGTCTTTCTTTGGATGGTGTGGCATCCAGATTCCTGTCAGCTGTCTGCTTGGTTGTGAAGAGAGAAAAGGAGAAAAGTAAAGGGAGAAAATCTGTTTCAAAACCAATCTTTATTGCTGCTATGGGATGTTACTTCACTATGGTAATATTTTCGGTTCTATTCACAACACCTGTGGCTTAAAATTCTTTATATCTCTTCTGCAACCATTCAGTGCCAATCCTTGCTTGAATTAGCATAAAATGCACTATGAATAGCAACGGCTCTTAAAAATAGTGATTGCAACTCAGATACTGATTTTCTGTGTATATGAGCTAAATAGGCCTGCATAAGGAGACTGCAAGACTGTTCATAGCCAGCTGGCATTCAGAAAAAGGGGCTGTACTCATTTACCTTTGTCCTTAGAAAATCACTCAGCTCCTAAATATTAATCATCCATGATATTCACTACATATTTACTCTTGGGTTCTGCTTTAAAATAGGCTTTTTAAAAGATTCAAAGATGAACGGAATGGACGCAAGTAAAACAAAGATTCAATAAACTTTCACTGTGGAGTAAAGTCAGAAGTATTAAGATGCCAGAGTTTGGTGAGGGGCATACTATTAATGAAACTCTTTGACAGTTGCAATGCATGTATTATTGAGAGTCAAAGAGATTGGTTTAATGTTAGCTCTATGCATCACTGAAGCACAGCAGTGGGCTAAAAGCAAGATCCCAAGCAGCTTTTGCAAACTACCATGTGTTCCTGGAATAAAGCATGACCTGTACACTTCAAACTTAAAATTAATTAGGTAGCGATGCTGTTTGCTTGTGTTTCTGTTCTTAATATTCAATGAGTTTTCTGGCATATCAAGAACTTAATTCATAGATAAGATCAGCACAGTAATAGGTTTCTCATGTCTTATCAGAAAATTGATATATTAAAGACTTCTGTAAAAAAAAAAACATCTGGACTGTCTCTTAGAAGAAATGGATTATTTTGAACGCTGTAAAGAAATCATACTGTCATAAAAATAACTTAAAACAGTAAAAGTTCAAGGTGAGAAAA